GCAAACGTTATGGCATGCTAAGGAACTGGCTGGTTTGATGCAAAGGAAATTTTACTACAGGAAAAAGCAGGATGCATTCTGAGTATTGAAATTGTGCATTTCTCTAGATTGTTGCCCCAAGAACATAATGGAATCATAAAGCTGTAAGATGCATGGTCTTGCATTCTAGTCCCTTTTTCACTCTGTGTAAGAGTCAGTAATTTCAATGTATAAGTAAAAAGGCTTTGGTAGTATTGATAGTATGAACTGATATTTTCCACATCATTCCTTGTGGAATTTTAAAATTGCTCTTTCTATAATAACATTCCAACTTCATGTTAATGCATGTTAAACTATTTTGCTTCTCAAAAGGCAAATTCTTGTGTTTAGCAAATAAAAATCTCAAATAAGGAACTTCACTTATGATAGGATAATATTTTACTATTTATTTTCAGTTTCAAGTATGTATTATTAAAGATACTCTGGAATCAGACAAACAATGGTATAAAATCACAATGGTTTAAATCATCCACCTGCTTATTGCCTGTGAAATGCTTATTATAGTGAATCTCAGCTTCTATTTTGGTGAGTAAAATGGTAAAAATATCTGCCTTCCAATATTGCTAACTGCTTCAAGAGGCATATATATATATAATGAGTCATCAACTTCAGTCAGTCCTTACTCATGTCTTACCTAGAAAGGGCTGAAGTTTTGTCTATGTCTTAGGAGGTGAGAAGCCTATGAGTTCATCAGAAATGTACCACCCCCTTGGTAGCACCATACACTCCATCAATGTTACTCAGATTTCTGTATATTTGGGACATTTTTAAGGTAGAGGGGGAAAAAATTATTGCCTTAAATCATTTTTATCTTCATACTGCATCTGTACTCATGCTTATCATGTCTGACTCTTTGTGACCTCACGGATTATAGCCTGCCAGGCTCCTCTGTTCATGGTATTTTCCAGGCATGGATACTGGAGTGGATTGCCATTTCTTACTCCAGGAGATCTTCCCAATCCAGGGATCAAACCTGTGTCTCTTGTTTCTCCTGCAATGGCAGGTAGATTCTTTATCACTGTGCCACCTGGGAAGCTATCTTCATATTACTGACTATATAAATATAAACTTCACATTATCATTTCTAGAACTATTTATTTAAATAACTAGAAAAAGCTGCAAATATAAATATAAATCCTTAAATTTAATTGCAAAGAATAATTCACTATAGCACATGCTATTATTTTGCTTAGATGAAATTGCTGCAATATTTTATGAACATATGCATGGGCACCACAGAGTTCTGATTGATGATATTTAGGTTCTACTGTGTTTGACACTTTAGTACAATTGTTAGCCACCAGGTCATGGTTCAATGATCTCACCACTTTTTTTTTTTCTTCTGTTTGACCTATAGTTTCTTCATTCATAATGTTTCCAGATATTATTTGTGCTGCAATTAGTTAAGGTAAATTGTTTTATAGTAAGTCTGTTTCTGTGTGTTTTCATTAGTCTATAATGAAGTAACAACTTTATGCATCAACAAATCTGAAATATAAGTATAAATATTGATACTAAAATTTCTAGAGAGTAATTGTCAATATATTTGATAATCATACTATTGATAGCCTAATGATTACACTGCTTTTGTTGATATTCTATTTTAAATAGTATAGCATGATAATATAAAATTAAAATTATGAACATTTTATGGGTACTAGAGAACACTTCTGTTAGCCATAAAGATTTTGCTGAAATCTAACATAAAAATAGAATTCTTTGAATAACTAAAGTAATATGACTCTTACTAATAAAAGTTTTTTTTAATACTTGATCACTTCAACTAGTATTATGTTCTATTTGAAATAGCATCTTCATAAATTTAAAAAAACTGTTGTGAGAAAATTCTGAGATTCCTTTTAAACAACAGTCATAAAATGTTTGGAATTATTTTTCTAATGAGACTCAGCTTGAGAATGGATGCATTTATATGTATGGCTGAGACCCTTTGCTGTTCCCCTAAAACTTTTATAGTATTGTTAATTGGCTATACCCCAATACAAAATAAAAAGTTTTTAAAAAGGATTCAATTTCCTTTATTGTACGACATTGAATCCTTATCATTATTTTGTGCCTCATCCCATAACCTTGGAAAAACAGACCATGAAAAGAAATAGCTTTAAACCACAAGTTCAAAAAAATATGTTTTTGCCATTGTAATGTTTTAGATTTACTGACTTCAGAGTGAAGGCATTTTATGTGATTTAAATTCTCATAACAATCTGAAGTAAACATATCTGATTTTGAATCTCATAATAATATGAAGCAAACATCAATATTCTTATTTTGCACATGTAGAAACTGAGGTTAAAACAGTGAAGAATAAACATCAAGAATCCAAAAACAAGCAATATTACTCACAAGTCTCTGTTCCTCTCATTGTAGCAATGGGTGTATAGTTTTTCATGACTATTTTAGTATATATTTTAATTAAAATGGTAAAAAAATATGAAACTAAAATTTTAGCTGAATTGCCATCCTCACAAACCTAAAAAGGCACCTAACCTGTATTCCCAGATCTCTTGGTATTATAAAAGCATGCCAGGGAATCTCACAAAACTTAATCATCATTTCTTAAGGGCAAAAACAAAATGTGTATCTTTTAGTTATTTTTACACCCACATTTCTAAACACAGAAACATACACAGGAACCCCGTAGGAAGAATAAACTCCACTGATAATTACTCTGCTTTGCTAAGCTAAATATACCTTTGACATCCTGGCAGACCCAAGTTTACAGACTGGAAATGTTCAAATTCAGGATTAAGAACCTTTTTTTCATATATATAACTTTTTAATTTTCCTAAATTGAACACAACATTAAATCATTTATCTGTCAGTATAAAGTTGCTAAGGAAGTATATACTAGTCAGAATAAGAAGTCTCAGGACTCATTACCTCACAGCGACAACCCAGAAAAACACAGGAACCAAAATGTCTTTATGAGAATTACAGAAACCATGTAAGAAGTTGCAGTAGCCATGAATGTACAAGGCCAAGAAGAGACGCACTGAAACAGGTCAGAACAATCATTTCACTGTATGCTCCATCACCGCCAGCCACAAGCTGACACAGCTCAGGTCCACTGGGAGAGCAGCCTGCTCCTGGCCTTCCCCTTGGGAAGGAAGAGTGGGACCTATGGGCAATGCTCTCACTCTTTGAAGAGCTGCCTGCCTGAGGGACTGATTTTTGTCTGCCTGACTTGGAGCAGTTTTGTCAGTGGATGAAATCAGCATCGTTTGGACGCCCGAGGGCCACTGAAAACAAGGGAAAGTAGAGGATGCTCAACGTGGTACCAGAGGGCCTGCAGTGCCACAGAGGATGGGCTGGCTTAGCGTGCTTGGGAGAGGAATCCCAACTCATGACTTTTCCTTCCGGAGGAAGGAGAGCATAGTAGAGCATAGTAGAGCATGCATCTGGCATTTTGGCTTTTCAGACGGCTACCCAAGGGAGTTACTTTTGCCTCACCTGACTGGGGGTGCTAATAGGGAGCTGGCATACTTTGGGTGCTTAGGCCACTGAGAATAAGAGGCGAGTAGACAGACTTGAGGCTGTAGCACCGCAGGAACTGCTGTACCACAAACAGACGCCAGAGGGAGCAAGAGATTACGAACGACTGAAAAAGAAACCATTAAACCCAATTGGGAAATGACACTTAAAAACCCAGAAAATTGTCAATCCCCAAAAGATGTTTCAGAAGCTCCCTGAATTTATAGCTCGACTGAGCAGAATATTGCCCTATGTAAAAGCAGCTTACAAAGACTGAGAATGGTGGCTATTTTTTCAAATACATACTACTCAGCAAAAAAAAAAAAAAAATTCAAAAGACATATAAAGAAACAGGGACACATGGCCAAATCACAGGGATAGAATAAATCTTTAGAAATCAGCTGCCAGAAAGAGAGAACTACGAATCACCTAGAAAAAAAATGCAAAATAAATGTCTTAAAGAAGCTCAATGTTCTACCAAAATTGCAGATAGACAAATGAACAAAATGAAAAATGGCACACAAACAAAATTATAATTTTAAGGAATGGAAACTGAAAAAAAGAGACAGAAGAAAAAGAACAGAACTCAGAGACAGGTAATTTGAAATGATGGAAAAAAGTGAAAAAGCATTAGGGACTAACACAGTACCTTGAAGCAGACCCATGCACACATTTTGAGAGTTCTATTAGGAGAAGACAGAGGATGCAGAAGACGAAGGAGATGCAGATTTGATCCCTGAGTTGGGAAGATCCTCTGGAGAAGGAAATGACAACCCACTCCGGTCTTCTTGCCAGGGAAATCCCTTGGACAGAGGAGCCTGGGGACAGAGAAACATGGCAGGGTACAATCCATGGGGTCGCAAAAGAGTTGGACACAACTTAGCAACTGAAACAGCAACAGCTGGTGCTTAGGTTTGAAGTGAACGGGAGGTGGGTAGGGCTGCTTGAGGTTCACCTCCCTAGAGAAAACCTAAGCAGCATTCTGGCTATGTGAAAACACACTGTATTTCAAGCTGCTTTTCTCTATCCAGATGATCTTCCTTTTGGCTGTTTTAGTCAGCCACTGATCAAAATTCTGCAATGCAACATGAATCCAAAAGCATTTGTTCATGTGATTCTTATGGCATGTGCATTGTATACACAGCCAGTATCAGAAGACTGCCCTAGGCCCCATTCAGGTGGCCAGGAATTGTGCCAGGCAGTTGATTCGGGGAACAGGCATTTCCAGGTCTTGTGTGGAAGACCATGAGGACCTCGGGGACGCTGGTGAGGACTTGGACTCCAAGAAGGAAGTAGAGGTCGGAGTGGTGAGTCAGGGAATGACTGCCAAAGGCCGAAATCCAGGTTGTCTCCTGGTGAGGTGAGGGTCTTTCTAGACAAATGTTCGGAGCTCAAGGGCAGGGCTCTGAGACGAGGCTCTGCCGGTCAAGCCCCACACACTTCCAGCCAAAGGGAGGAGCCCAGCCACTGAGATGGAGGCAGCATCCGTCCCAGCCCTCAGGAAGCTGGAGCCCAGGTCCAGCCCTCCTCTTGGCCTCTTCTTGGCAGGCAACCTCTGGGACAGTTGTGCAGAAGAATCCAGGCCTCAGGGCCATGCACTTCCAGGGAGCACTCAGGAAAGCACCCTTCTCCAGGCCCTGTCCCCACGGGCCTCCCACACCCAAGTCGAGGAGGACTTTGGGACCAGCATGAGGATGCTTTCTTGGAGACACTTGCCTCACAGATGTGGGCTCCGGCCCCAGCAGCAGGTCGATGTCTTCTATGAGCACAGGCAGAGACCGCTGGTGGGCAGGACCACCACGTGGTCAGGGGCCAGGCCAGGTTGTCTAGGTCCGGGAACTGCCTCGGACTTGGATTCGGGGCTCGTGGGCTCCTCCCTTCGGCCACGCTTGGCAAGGCCGGATATTCCGACTGGCAGTTCCCACCAGGCCGCAGGGAAGGCGCTGGGCCTGCGGGGCCGACTGCCCACTGTCTCAGGGTCACCGCAGGCCTGGCAGAAGGCGAGGAAGAGCTCAGTCCTGCAGGAGTGACAGATGGGCTTGACAGGTGAGGCTGCCAGGAGGCGGTGGGATGCGGTTCCTCTGGAAGAGGGCCGAGTCTTGGAGCTTTGGGGGTGCTTCTCTGGAGTTCTTCAATCCTGGCTTCCAGGAAAGCGGCTGGGCTCGGCCTTACCTGTTTCAGCCTTCACCTCCTTCTATGGACGGTTTGCGCAGGAGTGGATCAAGAAGGTTGTGGATGATGCCAGCAGAACCTGAACCTCAAAGCAATCTTCTCGCTAAACTCCGTCCCTTCCCAGGCTCTGCCCCTAGACATGGAGGTGTCTGTGATACCCTGGCTGTGGTGAGCAGTTCTATGTAGAGAAATAATTTAATAGGGCTCAAGGGGGCAGAGACTAGGCTTCCTGGGTCAAGTTCTTGGTTTTCCTCACGTTGAGCTCATACGTAGAAAGCCTTAATGGAGAGCCAATTAAATTTCAACTTCCCAAGATACTTCACTCGAAAATGACCTTTTACCTTCTTTGGTCCAGTAGTGGGGTGTTTTTAGCTGACATCCTTAAGCATCTGTTCTCCTGTATTGCCAATGACTGTCAGATCCTTGCAGTGGATCTGCAAGGATTTCCTTGAGAGGAAATGCGATGTTGGGACTGAGGTTCTTAACAGCTGCTGCAAAATCAACTTACATATCTATCAGTTTAGCACAATGACCATTGTTATACTTCCATCAACTAAACTGAGGGTGTACTTTCTCTAATATGACCTACACTACACTTGGGAGGTGTATCTGTTGTAGGCTGATTGACAGATGGTGAGACCGTCATGCAAAAGGACTGACCAATTTGCCCAGGAGCCTGTAACTAGCAGAACTGGGTCTCACAGGTCTCTTCAAGCTCCTCTGCAGATGACGCAGCCGCAATACCTTTGATGTATAAGTTTAAAGATGGGTCTACGGGGTTGTCAAGAGGTGTGGCTCAACTACCCGTTCATTGTTAACAGGAGAAAACATCCAGTAATTACTCTGGAATAGGTAATACTTTCATATGGTTCCCGACCAAGATGAAACACTTCTTTCCCTGTCCTTTAAACATGGGATCGCTCACTTTGTTCTCTTTTACAAAATAGCTTATATGCCCCCAATTTTAGAGCCACATAGATTTTTTTTGTAGAGAGTTATGTGGGTTTTTTTTTTATTTTTATTGAAGTATAGTTGCTTTACAATATTGTGTTAGTTTCTACTGTATAGCAAAGTGAATTATATGTGTGTGTATATATATAAATATATATATATATATATTTCCCCTTTTTCTTAGATGTTCTTAGATTTAGAGCTCCACAGAGCATTGGGTAGAGTTCCTTGTGTTATACAGTAGCTTCTCATTAGTTATTATTTTATGCACATTATCAGCTGTGCCTATGTGTTAATCCCAATCTCCCATTTCATCCCACTCACCCCTTTCTCCCTTGGTATCCATACATTTATTCTTAATGGCAATTTTTTTTAATTGAGCAAATTATATTTCCCTTTGCTTCTTCCATTTAGATTAAATGTCTTCTCTCAGTCAAAGCTAAAAATGCTATGAGTATCAAAAATATTAAACTTTTAGAATTTTTAAATTTAAAAAAATTAGGCAGTATTACTTCTTTGCCTTTTACTTTTTTTGAAGATCAAGAAGAGAATAAAGGTATGTAACCACTATTAATTCAAATTCTTAACCTTAATAAGAAAGAAAAGTCAGAAATCAAAACGCTTTTATGGCCTTGGCCTTTTGATGATTATGAAGTATTCCTAGTTGTGAATAGAGAAGGCAATGGCACCCCACTCCAGTACTCCTGCCTGGAAAATCCCATGGATGGAGGAGCCAGGTAGGCTACAGTCCCTGGGGTCACCAAGAGTCGGACACGACTGAACGACTTCACTTTCACTTTTCACTTTCATGCACTGGAGAAGGAAATGGCAGCCCACTCCAGTGTTCTTGCCTGGAGAGTCCCAGGGACGGGGGAGCCTGGTGGGCTGCTGTCTATGGGGTTACACAGGGCCGGACACGACTGAAGCGATTTAGCAGCAGCAGCAGCAGCTAGTCCATGAACATATTGAATACTTACAATTTCAGCCTCAGACTTTGGTTATAATTCCTACAGGAGGAAAACCATCTGCTCTGAAAAATCTTTACACCTCAGTTCAAACCAGCTTTGCATTTTTATCACAATAGAAAGTTGAAAAAACTGACAAAGAGAGCGTGTGCAAATCACCTTCTTGGAAACCACCCGGGCTCCTGGCTCTTTTTGGAGAGAGTATGAAATCAACATCCACATTTTTTCAAAAAACTCTCTCCAAAAACAGCTTCTTCATTTGGCATGGTAGTACATGTCATCCCAGGAGCATACAAGGGAATTTTATTTCATTTGTATTAAAGATTTGCCCCTAACGTTGCCTTCTATTATATGTATATAATTTTTTTTATGTTTTGACTTTGTGTCTTTTCAAATTCTAAATAACTTTGTTTATATATTTGTTTTTTTATAGGTTTTTTTAACCATATTACACACATATGTATACTCTCCCATTTATTTTGATTAGATGTTTCTAATGAACATGCTACCCTATATTATGGTACCTTGGTGTATAAACTGAAAAAGTTTGAGAAAAGATCAGAAACAAGCAGATCACTCTGATCTCACCCCCTTCACCCTTCTCTGAAACAAGTCATAAAACTCCCATGTGAAAGGCATCCTCCCTGCACCAAGAGAGGACCTTCTCATCACCAGAGATGGGAAATTTGGGGATGTGAAATCTGTACAGAAAAACCTTATTAAACTAACCCTCATCTTCCTAGTTATGACCACCATTTATGACTCCTAGCCCCAATTGTTTTGTTAATTTTTTTGTTTGTTTGTTTCTTTGTCTGAAACATACAAAAGTATCCGATTTTGGTCTCTTCTTTGGGTCCTCATGCTCTTATAAATTGTTCCATGTATATGAAAATATTCAATAACACTTTTATATCTTTCTCCTCTTCATCTGTCTTTGTCAGTTTAATTTTCAGACCCAGATAGGGACTCTAAGAGGATTGAGGGAAACTTTTTCTTTCCCTGTTTCCTTAAAACTTTTGCACTTTAAAACAAATTTTATCTTTTATTTATTGTTACTTTCTAATTAGCTCTCCTGTTTTCCTTAACTTTTAAACAGTGAGTTGAATACCAAATTATTTTGTATTGAATATGTTACAGCCTTGATTTTTAATCAACCCTATGGTTTGCTATGTAACGCTGAAATTTCTTTATGTGTTCTGAGACAGATGAATCAGATTTTTGGTCCATTTCAGCTAGGATAAGTTTTTGTAGTTATTTTACTTTGACTTTGATATTTGTTACAATTTGTATAGTTTTATTTGTATTGTTGGGCTTCCCTGGTGGCTCAGAGGTTAAAGTGTCTGCCTGCAATGCAGCAGACACAGGTTCAATCCCTGGGTTGGGAAGATCCCCTGGAGAAGGAAATGGCAACCCACTCCAGTATTCTTGTCTGGAGAATCCCATGGAAGGAGGAGCCTGGTGGGCTACAGTCCACGGGGTCGCAAAGAGTCAGACACAACTAAGCGACTTCACTTTCACTCTCACTTTTTCATTTGTATTGTATAATTTCTGTGTTTCCAAGTTTGTTAAGATTTTTGTTTTTATCTTATTCATGCCAACAAGCAGAGAAGAGGATCACTTAAACATTTTCACTTGCACACATTTCAATAATTTCATCTACATTTCTTTCCCAGATTTTTTTTTTAAACAATGTTATACAAATTAGTCTCACTTTCTTTTTTTTATATTTATTTATTTATTTTTGGCTGTGTCAGTTCTTAGTTATAGTATGCAGGATCTTTTGTTGCAGTTGAAGAAGCAAGTCATAGGGCCTGGACTCCATCTCAGGCCTGTTCATGTTGATCATGCTTGGCCACCTCTCCAATGAACTCTGAACTCTGTGTTTTTATGGAAACGACAACAGAAGGATAAGACAGACCCCCTCCAGACAGGGGAACCTTGAAGATCATATCCAGGTTACTCCTCGCCTAAGAGAACACATACACTAATCACCCCTTCCTCCAGAAAGGCCATAAATTTTCTGTACCTATCGGAGTGTAACCTCAGGCTTATTGATTATTGACTAATTGTTTAACTGTCTGAGCACATGGCATATGAATGATGGGGTTATTGGGATTATATTTATGCTTCCTGTGTTTGTGTAAGTCTCAAGGAATTTAGGATGGTGGATTTGGACTTGTACACATGGGGTATAAAAATTTTCACAAATGGTGGTCGGGGTCCTTGGCTAAGAGGAGACTCTTGGGCCCGCCGGTGTAATAAACTGCACTCACTATCTGCATTGTCCTTCTGAGTGAGTTTGTTTCCCGGAATGCATGGCTACAACACAGTGAGCAATCTTCTGTCTAGTTGTGACATGCGGATACGAGAACATGAGGATTCAGTAGTTGTGGTTCGAGCTTAGTTGCCTAGTGGCTTCTGGGGTCTTACTTTCCTGACCAGGGGTTGAACCTAGGTCCCTTGCATTGAAAGGCAGATTCTTAACCAATGGACCACCAGGGAAGGCTCCTCCCAGACTTCTTATCAAGAGTAATTGCCCTCTGACATTGATTTATTTGTTTGTTATTGTTGCTGTTTTTGTGTTGGTCTCTGTCATGTCTGACTCTTTGTGACTCCATGGACTGTAGACCACCAGGCTTCTCTGTCCATGGAATTGTCCAGACAAGAATACTGGAGTGGGTTGCCATTTCCTTCTCCAGGGGGTCTTCCCAACCCAGGGATTGAACCCAGTTCTCCCACATCGCAGGCAGACACTTTAACCTCTGAGCCACCAGGGAAGCCCAATTAAAGTGTACATCAAAAAATGACACAAATAAACTTATATACAAAACAGAAATAGTCACAGATATAGGAAATGAACTCATGGATACCAAAAGGGAGGGATAAATTAGGAGTTTGGGATTAACAGATGTACACTACCACTGTTACCAAGACCAATCTGG